AAAACACAGTAACAGTGGATACGGTGAGTTTACAGCGCCCACTGGCTCCACAATAAAACAGACTCTAGCATATTTGACATATACAACCAGACTTTTAAAGTCGGATCAATAAACACTTATATTATCTAAACACAGTTTATTTGTTTTCTGCCATAGTCTACAGAGTTCCATATCTCTTTGTAAGGAAGTTCAGTTGCTAAGTATGGTCCTGGAAAATAGCTGTATCTCGTGGTTAAAGAAGGGGCAGTAGAAAGGACAGACCAGAAAAGAAGAGGAGGGAATGAGACCAGGCGGGGCCCGATATACCCTTCAAGGGACCTAATTTTCGTCCTGGGAGCTCTGGAGAGGGAATTGTGCAGAGGTTCTGTAGCACAACCATGGCCCCCAGGTGGCATTGAATTGAGCTTCTGTATTTTTCAGTGAGGCTGTGAGATCTTCCAGCAGATAGATATCCTGGACCCTGGCAAGCCATAACTGGACTGTGGGAGGCTGGGGGTCCCGCCACTTCAGGGGTATACAGGCTCTGGCTGCATTTATCAGATGATGAGTTAACGAGTGTCTGTATTTCGAGATAGGGTGGTGGGTCAAATGGAGCAGGCAGGCCGCTGGGTTACTCCTGAGGTCCGCTCCTGTCAGATTCCCAACTATCTCCAGGACCCCCTCCCAAAAGTGCTGTATCCCAGGGCAATTCCAGAATACATGTAGCACTGTACCCGAGACCCTCCCACATCTTCAACACACATCCGGAAACGAGCTATTCATCTTATGGAGCAACCACAGAAGGCCCTCAATCGGGAGGTGGAACACACTCCGTTCCATCGCCACCCATTCCTTGTCCTCTCGTCGGAGGCACCAGTCAAGGAGTCTAGACATGTGTATGGCGGAGTAATAGGTAGAGAGGTCTGGCAGTCCCACTCCCCCTCTGTTCTTGGGAAGCGAAAGGATACGTCTGCTGAGCCTGGGGGTCCTGCCCGCCCATATGAAAGGGATTATGTTCCTGACTGGATAGTTTAGCTAGCTGCTCAGATTACATCGTTTTGGTAGATCTAAAGTTGATTGTACAGAGATTTTATGGCCAGATTGCAATGTGTATGGTGAACTTAAAGGACAATGTATAATCAGATTGTAACATATATTGTTAGCCTTTTGTGCTGAGTGTCAGCCATGAAAAGTTTATATGGGTGGAAATATACATCTGTTTATTGTGCCGAAATGATTTAAAAAAAAATATAATTGCATTTGACTGATAGGTGTTACTGCACTTTGCCCATCACTGTTTCTCTTTCCACTGACTTTCAAAGTAAGTCTGAAGTTTCTTATACATTTTCCATTTTATTCCAATGATACAAAAGCTATGACAGGAGAGGCAAACAGTGGAGGATTATGATATAAGAGGTAACCCGGGAAGGACTATGATAGAAGAGGCAACCTGTGGAGGACCATGACAGAAGATGCAACCTGTGAAGGACTGTGATAGAAGAGGCAACCTTTGAAGGACTGCGATAGAAGAGCCAACCTGTGAAGGACAATGATAGAAGGGGCAACCAGTGGAGGACTATGACAGAAGAGGCAACCTGTGACGGACTATGACAGAAGAGGCAACCTGTGATGGACTATGATAGAAGGGGCAACCAGTGGAGGACTATGATCGTAGCAACAACCAGTTGAGGACTATGGTAGAAGAGGCAACCAGTGGAGGACTATGACAGAAAAGGCAACCTATGGAGGACTATGATAGAAGAGGCAACCTATGGAGGACTATGATAGAAGAGGCAACCAGTGGAGGACTATGATGCAAGAGGCAACCAGTGGAGGACTATGATGGACGAGGCAACCAATGGAGGACTATGATACAAGAGGCAACCAGTGGAGGACTATGATAGAAGAGGCAACCAATGGGGGACTATGATAGAAGAGGCAACCAATGGGGGACTATGATAGAAGAGGCAACCAGTGGGGGACTATGATAGAAAAGGCAACCAGTGGAGGACTATGATAGAGGAGGCAACTAGTGGAAGGCTATGATAGAGGAGGCAACCAGTGGAGGACTATGATAGAGGAGGCAACCAGTGGAGGGCTATGATAGAGGAGGCAACCAGTGGAGGGCTATGATAGAGGAGGCAACCAGTGGAGGGCTATGATAGAGGAGGCAACCAGTGGAGGGCTATGATAGAGGAGGCAACCAGTGGAGGGCTATGATAGAGGAGGCAACCAGTGAAGGACTATGATAGAAGAGGCAAACAGTGGAGGACTATCATAGAAGAGGCAATCAGTGGAGGTAACAAGGACCTATCCATAACTATAACACAGGCTAGGTCTGTGCTGCCAATGTCAATGGTAAAGCAATCATCTTCACTTATTTCTTCTACTATTCTGGAATGTGGGAACATATTTTATAAATGGTTACAGTGGATTTCTTAGGAACTGGTGCCTATGACATTGCAAAAGGAGGCCATATTGAATATGACGGGCTTCTCATCTATGATTAGATATTTATACAGCCTGTTGTATGCTGTTACACGGCAGTTTCATTAGAATACTATTTGTTTTTAATAAAATATTTTGTAAAGCGCTGAGCAAATTGTTGGCGCTGTGTAAATCCTGTATAATAATACTACAGAGTGCTTTGGTTAAATAGCTATCCTTGTTCTTTTAAAAAAAAACATATTTTGGTTTTACATAGTGTTTGTATCATATATCCAGCATATTGGTATTTGTGACATGTAAGCCCATTCCTAATCTTCCCTACACACGTGTTAACAGTAATAAAGGTTTGTCACTTCATGTGTGCTTTGGTCACCAAAGAATCCTCTTTATGTGCTGGGAGTGTCAGACATCAAAGGGTTGTATGGGTGGAATGGGTTCAATTCTGCAACTCATTACTACAAAATCACCATTTAAATAGGTTCTGTAGAGTGTTATCAGTACATGTACACAAATATTAGGGGTGGGTGCAGTTATTTGTTACTGACAGTTTCTAAATGCACACCAAAAGTTTACTAAATGCACAAAAAAACACCCATTGAACTCTTTCTCCCCCTCTCTGTCTCTCTCTCCCCCTCTCTCTGCCTCTCTCTCACTCTCTCTTTCTTACATTTACAGAGAATGGTGCAACAATCTTTAGTAGATGGTTGAGTCTGCGGGTAAAAATACCTTGCTAATAATTAGGATTTGGGTTAAAAGAAAATGACATAGTTGCCATTAGTGGCCATTTCTGCCCTTGTGAGTTGCAGTGTTTACATACTAGTTACCTTGCTCCCACTGATCAATGTTTTAAAGGGACGGCCCCTTTATTCCTTCCCTTTATGATCTGCAGAAATAAACATGCTACTGTATATAACTACTAAAATGTATGTGCATGGCAGACATTGAGGCTGATTTACTAAAGGAGATGAGAATATTCATTCAATTAAATGCAGCTTTGTCACTTTGAATGCCTAATCATGTGCAGATGAAATAAACAGGAATTTGATTTTCAGGACATTTGGTAATTCTCAACTCCTTTAGTAATCTAGCCTCTCTATGTTCAGTGTCTAAATGATTGCAGAGAAAAGGCACCCATGTTATGACCAGATTTGTATTTTCATACTTGGTACCCATGTTGTGTTCATGTTGATCTGATCACAGTAATAGGCCTCTGTAAAAGCATGAACATGTCTGTGGCTTTATGTTAAATTATCTGATGATAAATAGGGTATGTTGTATAGTAGATCCATTGATGCAGATCATAAATGAGAGACACATGTGGAGATGAGAGGAATAGATTCATTTCGACAACTAGATGATAACTTTTACATACATATGAAAAAAAAACTTTCAAATGACAATAGAGTTGGGGTGGGGGGTTGAGGTTCTCCCCTGCAGGTAAGAACTTACCTTTCATGATCTTCACTGTTTGGTGAGTATGGCTCATCTATAGAAATGAATGGGTTGTGGAGCATATGGGCAGTAAGAAAAATGACCAAGCCAGGGTGGTTTCCTTGCTAAGTCTATACAAAGTCGAACAGGACTACAGTGTGAACACTGTCGTAGCGGGTAGGAAGGAAGGTATTCTACTGAGTGGACTGGACTTAGGGAGGTGGACCTGTTGGAACATGTTGGAAAACTTTTCTTGATCAACTGGAATCCTAACAGTGAATGTGGTTTTGATTCGTGAAGCTCCATTCATTCCAAAATCAAATGTTAAAATCAAAACGAAATTCAAATGAAATTTCGAACAACACTCATCAAGTCTCTGATGACATTATTAAACGTTTGGATGAGATCTTTCATACAAACGTTCATTCAAAAATCTACCGGTGTATATACTACTTTACAAAAGTGATAGCATACAGGGTAAAAGCATGTCAATAAACTGCTGCAATACAAAACAAACTGTGTAAAGCCTGCTCCAGCGCTGACTGCTGTGTCTTCCGTGTCCCACGGTGTCTGTCCGCATGCATACTGCTGTCTGTGTGCATTGGCTTACCCTGTGTCTCTCCTCTTCTACCCTGCCAAAGATCTCTACTGCGCATGCGCCCACCCCATGATCCTTCCCGGCTGCTTGAGAATCTTCAGATCTTCGGGCAGGAGCGAGCGTCGAAGACACAGGTAAGTAAAACCTTTTTTGGTAACTTTTTACATTTTTTTATGTTTTGGTATATATCTACTGCTAGCAAGCAGTAGCTATCTGCAAGAAAAAGAGAGTTTAATTCTACATTACCAACTTTTATTGAGGCTATTTTATCACGGAGTGTAAATAAATGGAAAAAATGATTTGGCCATTTAAAAAAAAAGAAAAAGGAATCCAAAGGGTGAAAGCTCCTGAATGTCCCCATAAAACAATGACATTAGGACACCCTCCTCCATTCTGCGAACTTGCCTTGTATTGCTATTCATTCGCTGGAGCTGGTTTGGCTGAAATATAAATTTGACCGGCGCCCTCTATGAAGAGCACGGAGCGAGCTCAGATCTGTGTGCGCTGTCCGAAGGAGAGAACGATCAGAGCATCTCTACTTATAATCTTGTCCTGCTTGTAGTGACTCGGAGCTATGAAGTCCCCTACAGTGAAGACATCAAGGAGAGGTAAGATGCAGCAACTTTCACTGATGTACTAAGGGCTGTGGATCGCTCTGTGCACTTGTCACGTCTGCCTATGGTACCATGGAAGGGATCACTTGCCATCATCATGTAATGTGTTCCTGCTCAGGTTCTGCTCCTGGTGTCAGCTGAGATACTACTGTCTTGTATAGGGTGGCTTTTACATATCATATATTCCATTGTACATGGTTATGTCTGATGGACACATTGTAGGGTGCTACCATTGTGGGATCCTAACATAGGAAGGTGATAGAATAGTAGAATGTGGACTGCTCTGGAGGAGTGCTATGTAAGGTGATAGTCAGCTCACTGGGCTAGTGCAAGGTCAGGACTGGACCTCAGCAGGGGGGACAGTGACAGTACTCCAAGTCCCAACAAGCCAGACTCCATCTGATCTGTAAAGGTATCGGCCACCTTTTCATCAAAGTAATAACTCCCCGCACATAAATGAAAGGACAAATGGACATTTTGTCTCATTGGAGGCTGCAAAGCATCACACTGCAATCAATCAATGGATGGAGGGTGCAATGCTCAGCCTCCTGCAGACTGTACCTCCAGGCTGGAGCTGGAGGACCTACCACTGGTACTCCACTAACAACTATGAGCCCCTCTGCTGTGGTGCCAGATGGGACTTGTAGTCTTTTCATTCACAGACCCTGTGGGTGGAGCCATGCACAGCTGCACCAAATTCAGATCTAAGCAGAATCATGTGGGAAGAAGCACCCTGTGATTCTAGTAAGGGGGGCTCTGGACTGTGACCATGTTTCATGTAACACCCTGAATATGGGAATAACCTGAACCACGTTCACAAAGGTGTCGTTTTCTTTTATTGCAGCAAAAAGGACATCAAACTAAATGCGTTTCAGCCAGAGATTAGGCAAAAAATGAAGGCCAGGATAGGCTGAAACGTGTCTGTCGTTGACGTCCCTTTTATCTATCATGCTAAAATAAAATCCTAAAGGCCTGTGCACACTATAACATTACACTTGGCGCATGTTACTTTGTGTTTAGCGCACACTATTGCACACAGCACACCTAGCATGTTGTACCAGGCGCTAGGTGCGTTGTGTTGCCTTTCATTTGAATGTCCCCCAACGCATCTCCCGGCGGCCATGCTGTAGAAAAAGTAATGCATGCCTTATTTATCTGACATCTCAGTGGCTGTTAGGTCCCATTTAGATGTATGTGTGTGCATAGAGGTGTGCGACTTTTTTTGTAGCATTAGGCAGGTGCATTGTCATACGTCAACGTGCGTTTGCTTTGTGTGTTGACCTGCGTTTATCTTGTGTGTTGGGCATTTTCAGTGTGTTTTTGAATTGAACATTTGGAGTGGATGGGGTTAACATCCATTAACCCAGGTGTCTTCATACCTGCTGCCAATGCATCAAAATGCGTATTATATGCGTTTTGATGACTTCTTTGCCAAAAAAAAATCACTAAAAAATGGACATTGTCCTAACTTTTAATACCGCACTGCTGCTCTGCAATGACCCTATTTTTATCATGGGGAAGCTGGACACCTCAATGTGTAACTGGGCCATTGAAGCTGTAACTTTAAAGAACTGAGCTATTGCCATCCTATAACAAAGAAAATATTAATACTTTCCATTAGCCAAGACTCCAATCTCCGGTGTCCTCCATAGCCATGGCCACCGCTACTATTTGACAGTTCCAGGTGTGGCAGATTGTGTACCCCCCCTTGTTGTGTGCTGTGGTTCATCCTGCTGCTACATCACTGCTGTGCCCTGTAATGGCATGGGGTAGGCAGATGAAACCACAGTATGCTGTGGGGGGGGCATACAGTCTGACACTGCTGGAAGTGTTAGTTAGCAGTGTTGGCCACAGTTCTGTAATCATGGATTTGTTGTCCACTGGAAGGGTGACTACAACTATACTTCTTTTGCTTGGTGCCATCATTTTCAGGGTTTTACATTGTTTTAAGAGGCTGTAAGGCCCCTTTCACATGGTCTGATCAGGTGGGCATCAATGCACAGATACCCCTCTGAGGCTAGGTTCACATTTACACGTTCTGTCTCCACGTGGCAATCATGCACGAAGCCGCGTGGCTTGCCGAATGGTCACGGAGTCGCCCTCCACAGCCGATTGCGTTGGTGGTGCCATTATCTTCTAATGGCACCCCAGTCGCGCTGGGCGGATTGCGCAATGTCCCGCTGCAAATCCACCCGTGCAATTGAACATGAATGCGGCTAAAAAAGCAGTGCGTGGTGTCCCAAAAGAAGTACTTGCACTTTTTTTTTTTTTAGCGATTGCCGTGCAGATGTAACCCCATTGAAATTAATGGGGCCACACAGCAATCGCTGTGTGCACCCGAACGCGATCGTGCGCGTCCCGGCTATCGCTCAGATCTGAACCTAGCCTCATTGGAATGGAAAAATGGAGGGGAAAAAAATGAAATTACCGGACCCATGTCGGTCTATGGGGGGGTGAGATGTAAATAGACATGTGTCCGCTTACATCAGATTACATCTGTCTCTGATCCGGCACGATCAAGTGCGGCGTAACGGAACTCTGATCTCTTTTTTTTGTTCTGGTGGAACTGGAAAGAGTTGTGAGTAACCAGATGTAAGAAGACGCCCGAGCATTTAGATATGGTTGCCCATAGACTTACATTGGGCATCTGATTGGGTCCGTCTGGAAAAAGACAGGCAAGCCCGATCAGACTGCCCTTGTGAAAGAGGCCCTAGGCAAACGCATACCTAATTTTAGTGTTTACCAACAAATCTCTACATTGAATGTAACAGGAAAACATGTAACTATTGAAAGCGAATGAATAAAGACTGTAATGCTGTATTTACTGAATGACCCCATGCTATGTGCTGACGTTGCGGTCTGTTTTGGCCTGAGCATATTATGGGTGACGATGAGGTTTGCATTGCATAATAAAGCTAATCTGTGTCTCTGCACACTTCATCTGGTTGTACCAGTCATCCTATAGACAGAGATATGAAGCTTTGCTGTGATGATAAAAGCCACTTTGAAGAATTGTGCCGCCTTTAACCTGTGCTCGGCAGGCTTCTGTCATGGCAGATGCGGCTATTCAATGTGTGTTCGGACTGTCTCTATTCAGTCAAAGACTTCCCAGAAAGTGGGGAGTTCTGCCAAAGAGGCTTTCTGTGCCCTTTGTTCTCAGCCTCCCGCTAATGTTCTATTATGAAGAGTATCCACAGTGGAAGAGTTCTGCAGTGCTGCCAATACAGCTGCCTACACAGACTCTGCTGCCCACCTACTTCTAGAAATCTGTCCAGCTGATGATTGCTGGAGCAGGCAGTCAGGGGAAATTCTTGAAAACCAATCACTCTCTCAAAATGACATGAGTATATCTTTATGGGATTACCAAGTCCTGTAATAGACGGTGACTCACTTTGTGGTTTCATGCTCGCTTGAGCTCGTCTATTTTACTTTATACAGATTGGTTTGCCATGACTTATGTCTGTGATATTGTCTATAAATGATTTTCCTTTTTATCTGCTTCATACAACGACCTGTTATTTGATTTTTGTTTACTTTGTAGAGTTGAAGGGCACTGTTCTCCAATCTGTTACAAAAATGAATTTGTTAAAGATTCTCATCCTTTTAATGTTTAATCTTGGTGTATATGATTCATGGTACAGCGGGAGATGCATAGTCATGGAAACCAATCAGGGTTCATCTTCCTGATCCAGGGTTTCTAACACAAAGTAGATCCATTGCCAACTGCACCCAGTCTGCTTTGATCTGATTTTCATACATCGCCTTGCCTAGGACGGTGGACTGCAGCAGTGTTGCCTTTTTCTGTCATTCATCCTGCCTAGATTATAGGCAATATTCATTTGTGTATTACTATGCTACATAGTAGTAGTACTGTTTTTACGGGCCGCTCGTTTTGCTGTATCAATACTTGTAGCTATGTTTTGTGATGTGTGTGTGTGTGTGTGTGTGTGTAATTGTAATTATGGTAATAAAATGAGATCACTAAAGTGTATGTGAACCTTGAAAATTAAAGTTAAAATGAAGCCCACTGCAGTCTCTGAAATATGGCCAAGACCTTTAATATACCTGCCAATCCTCTTCGGAAAGAACCGCTTTCTTGTTTGTAACTGACCATGCCAGGCATGGAAGCAGATCCGTCCTAGCGGGTCAGTCTGTGTCCTTTCTTCCTATTTTGTAGTTACAGGATGCCAACGCAAGGCGTACCTGTAGTTGGAGTACTGATTACTGCTCCCATGCCCTCCAGCCAAATCACTTTAGGCAGGGAGTTTCTAGGGATGTCAATCATTCCTATAGCCCCAGATGCCTGAGGATGCTTCACAGGTCAACTCGTAACTAAGGAAAGAAGCAATCACATGGCGACCATTAAGAGCCTTTAAAAAAGTAATAACATTGTACTAATGTACCTTGATTATTACAGGTTTCCTAAAGCTTATTGTGCTTTTTTTAGGCTTAGGCACTTAATGTTACTTTATGGATCTGCACCTCAACTGGTCATGTAATAAAAAAACTGAGTGTGAGACATAAACGTACATATGTGACCCTTTTCTCTTCTCCTTTCTTGCAGCTGCCTTTATTGAATACGATGACGATTTGAATGAAGTGTTGTGTGAATTTGATGCGGTGTTGGAAGATTTCTCCTCGCCGTTTAATAAGAGGCGTTTCTGTTATGATGAACACCTGAAGACCATGAAGAGGAGGAGCAGTGCTAGTATCAGTGACAGTGGAATCAGCGACTCAGAAAGTAAGCAACTATTAAGGTGACATTATGGGAACAACATGAAATGGAAACAGGGATTCGGCTTCTACCCTAAACCTGTCCTCATGTATACCTGCCAATTGCATAAGGGCTGAATCCATTTTAGACATTCAGGAGGTTAGACATGAATGGGGTAAGACCCCAGCCTTACATTTCACATATACCCCCCTTCCAGTCTCTTTAGAAATATCCTCAATAGGACCTGCATATTTGGTGCTTGTCCTGTTTTTGTGCTCTTTCAGCAAAATCCTTATGACATAGTTGATGGGGAATGTCATGAAGCATAATGATTGACTGTCAGTGTATGGGCCCAGTCATCACCCTTGCTCATGTGCTGACCTATGTGAGAAGTATTGTTTTGGATCAGTGACTTAGGACTTCAGAGTAAAGTCAACAGTAGCTACCTACTTATTTGAAAGTTTTTTGAAACTTTTTTTGATACTTATTTGAAAGATATCCAGTGCTGCAGGGACAGCCTGTGCTTACCCACAGAGTTAGGACACTGTGCAGCATTGACAATTCTCTAAATTGTTGGCTGGCTGCCTGATTAGCAGGAAGAAACCCTGTACATACGTTTTCTAAGTGAAGCTGAACTCTTGATTGTTGGTTGAAGTTAGCTTTGCATCTGCCAGTAGACAGCCTGCACATCATGATTCATGGCAGGTCGTCTACCCCAGGATTAAAATGCATTCCTGACATGTGGCCCATCAGTACTGTCTCCATGATGTATGACTGCCTCCGAGTTTGAAACAAAATCCTGGCAGTACTTGTCTGACCATTATGTCATACCTGTGCAAATGGTAGCACAAGACTGTTAGTGAATGACCTCATCTGTTAATCAGGAAGACCTCTTCTATTCTCTTTGATCATGAATACAGCTTTCTTTGTTTTCCCTCATGGTCTAGTGTCATTAGTACCTGCAGGGTGATCAGTAAAGATTTCCCTGCTTCTTTACACTTCTCTGTCTGGGGTTTTAGGTTATTGAATTCTGAACTGGGTTTGAAGAATCTCTGGAGACAGAAATGAGCAAGATGACTCAAAAATGAAAGGCCGCTTGTTCCCCTGAGGCTCCCCAATATGAACGAGAATTGCAGGTGTTATGAAGCATGTGATATTTTTAAACTGGGTTCATATTGTGTATCCCTGTGACTTTACTAGCCATGTTCCAGTACAAATGATTTTCCTTGGTTACAACATAGGTACAAGTTATATTTGTCTGACACATACTTTGTAAAAACAGGAAGCATGTGGTTTTTACAGTTACTGCATTGTTTTTTTGTTCTGGTTGCTAAGAGAATGCCAGCTTTCGTTTATTGTGTGCATGATAAAGCCAGCTTTGTAATTTTCCATCTTTAGAATGTAGCTCTGGACATAGACTGTTGTGTGTTCTAAAACGGCTTGTTTATTGGAGATGATTTCTTCTTTTCATCTGTAATGATATACTGCAATACAGGGGTGCACAAATGAATATGGAATTCAGGATCCAGTCTGTCCAATCCAGGAGCCAGCAGGATTTTTAAGGACCCAGTTCCATTGACGGAAACTAGAGAAAACCTCAAAAATTGCGGACCTGCTGTCATTTTGAAGGAGCATGGCTACCTGGCAATTTTTCCAGCCCTGCTGTAATGGCTGCTCAGTAACAGGACCTGTGTAATTTTCTCTGGTAGCCTCTACTAGTCAGTATTCAGTTTCTTTTTCTGTTGGTGTGAAACTCTGATGTACTCAGAAATACATTATCCTGCAGTATTTGCTATTGGGACTCTGAATTATGAATGTAGTATCCTTGTCAGAACTGTTTTTAAGAAGCTATGGCTCAGTTTACCCAAAACAGATATTTTTGGTAGATGCTGAAACGTTAAACCACTTGCATCTCTCATACTTTATGGGTCAAGTGTCTGCACTTGTGTTCATGGGTCTGTACAGGTCCTGTGGCGTTATGACCGGATCCCACTTTTTCATGGGAGACGGAGTTTATTTTCATGTATTTCTTATTAAACAGTGAAACTGGAGATACTGGGTGACTCTAATGTAGGTGGAAGCATCCAAAACTCCCAGGTGGGCAGGAGTATAGTTTGGAATGTCAAGAATTTGTCAGGGAGAGCTTTTTGTTGGCCATCTAACAATATTGGATTCCCGGTGCCTACTCAGCCCACCAGGCTCCACCTATAATAAGTATTGCTCTTGTGTGGATTGACCCTTTAGCATATCCAGTTGAGTTTCTGAGCAGTTGTCTGAAGGGAAGAATCTTACCTTCCTCTGGCCTAGTACATACACCTATGGCTATATCTATTCACACCTAGTCAGTTTATGTTTTTCCAGTTTCCTGCAACTTAATGATTGCTACCACCACAGGTAAACCACAGACTGAGGTCACGGAAAGTAGTTCCTATCACTGCACTGTTTAAGTGCAGTTTGACTAAACCAATGTATTGCACCTTTTATGGCCATTGTAATATCCGAGGCATCCACCATCCATTGTAAAATATGCACCATCCAGTGTTGTACATATTTAACACATCTGAACCACAAAAATGTCAAAACAGAAAAGGAAATGGACAAACAACATGAACATATGTGTTAGCAGGGCCTAAGGGTGTCTGCTGTCAACCAGGAGTCACAGTGACCACATTTATACAGAACATATGGATAGCAGATACTGTTAACCAGTCACATCTGAACAGAGTACTCGGTGGGGTTGATTTTACTAAAGGCAAATCGGCTGTTAATATTAGCAAGGGAATTTTCACTTTGCATGGACATTTTAGCTTAGTGGATGTGGTGAAATTCGCTTTGCAACGAATACACAATCACGGGCAAGGAAAATGAAAAAACAAACTGTTTGCTTGCACATTATTAGATGATGAAAGTCAGCAGAGTTCACCTCATTTACTAAGCTAAGAGGAAATTCCCCTGCAAAGTGACCAGCCTATATGCCTTTAGAAAATCAACCCCTATGTGACACTGCATTTAGAGAAGTTGTTGGTTGTTTGCTGTGTTTCTTCCATAGCTACCATTACTATAAAAATAGATAGACAGCACAGCCTCCTGGTACTTCCCTCTTTATTGTAGAGTTTCACTAATTGCTGTCAAAGTTTTCCTTAGGGTTAGTGCGTTATTACCCAGGAATGCAAATAAAGTGTGTCCCCAGGGTATTTTGGCATTAGTGATGCTGTATTGATCCTAATGGATGTACTCAATATAAGCCATTGGATCTCCTAGCCAGTGTCTTAGCTAATGGTTGCATTCATTGGAAATATTGGAGGATCCTTCTGAAAGCTGATGGGAGGTGTTCACGCGCAAGGACTTGGAAGCTTTTTTTTTTTTCCCAACCCATACTAGAAAATGGTCTTTCTTTTTTTCTAGTTGTGTCACTGCTTCTGGTGGAGTCTTTGAATTTTTGCTTACTTCTATAATTCACCATAAACATGTGAAGAACCTTGTATGCTTTGATGGAATCCTGTAACTTCTTAAATTTTACATTTTGTATACTAATACTGTTCTTCCATAACAAGCTCACTTTTGTACAGTCACAGGAAATATTTTACAGTTATAATTATATATTTTTTTTAATGTTTGGGTAAAGCTTTGTAACTATAACTTTGCCTCTGCGGGTTCCTTATATTTAGCTGTTCCTGCTTTGGTTTGCCAGGCTAACTTCTAACTATGCATAGAACCACACCAAATGTGCAACTGAGCTATAGAACCTTGATAGAAATGGGAGCTTCAACATACGGTACATTGGATAAGATCAGATGTCATGTGACCCGCTCACATTTACTGACGCCATCATTGGCCAGTTACACTAAGGTACTGCCTAATTCTCCTGCAGTATAGATGAAATGTAGCATAAGTACAAGTTGGATTTTAAAGTATGTCCTGTTGTACTTCTAAAAAACTTTAGTTTGCTATTTCTTTTTTTTTATTGCAATGTTAAAAAAAAGTCTGGTAACCTAATGAAATTTGAGGGCTGGGCATTGACTCTGCCCTGATTTAAGCTAATAGTGATTACAGTAGCAATATCTGTTGTTTTGACCTACCAAGAGATATCCATCCGCTTTGGCACAGACAAACTGGAGAAACAAGGGCAGAGACTGAAAAGTCAATACACAACATATGCAAACACTACAGTTCTGCAATCCTCTAACCTTTTACTCTTCCATTTTATTTCTGGTGTCTATTTATGCGGATGGCTGAATTTTTTTTGTACACCAACAGTATGCTTTTCTGTACTGTGCTATGTATACATCTTATAGCTTATTTGTTATTTAGCTATGAGAAAACTGATGCAACAAGCTATTATAATTATTATAATTATTATACAGAAATTAGTGCCAGAGCTTTACAAAATAACAACTCGTGAGAGCTTACAATCTAAAGGAAGGGGCAAGTGATACAAATGGTGAAAAATGTAAGGAATGAGCTGAAGGAGAAGGTAAAAGTGCAGTTTTCGGGTGAAGGCGGGATAGGCTTCCCTGAAGAGATGAGTTTTCAGGGATCTGGTGGACAGAGTAGGAGATAGCCAGACAGATTGGGGTAGGGCGTTCCAGATTATGAAAGAGGGTCTAGAGAAGTCCTTGAGGTGAGCATGGGATGAGGCAGCTAGAAAGCAGATTGTCTTAGGAGGAGAGGACTGTTTGGGGGATATTTTGAGATGCGGTTTATATAGCTGGGAGTATAGTTGTGGATGGTTTTGTATTGGTTTTGATTTTCTGAAAATCATTATTAAAATAAACAGGACGTGCTTGCATACAATTTGCACAAACTATGACTTGGTCATTATAGTATGTGGTGGCCTCTATCTTGGATTTTATGAATCAGAGTCCTTAAGGTGCCCATGCCCCTTACAACCACCGCAAGACATTTGTCTTGCGATGTTTAGAAGCTAATTAAAAGCTTGTACGATCTGCCCATCTTGGACAGGCAGATCGTACTTGCAATCATCACAAGCCCGCCCCCCTGAGGGGCGGTCTTCCGATGACTGCAATGCTGAACGGGCAGTGTGCGCTTGCGCACACCGGCCCGTTCAGCATTTGTCTCCCGAGAACGGCACTAACCCGCCGACAATAGTACGATTCTCTGCGGGTTTTCAAGCCTGCACGGGAGACAAAAGACATGCGACCGTACAGTAGAAACGGTAGCACGCCTTCCATACACCTTGCGATAATCGCAAGGTGTATGGGCACCTTGAAACTTGATCGTATGATTTGCATTCTCTACCCCTTTATATATAGGCTTATTGTAGCCTTCTGTTTTTCAGGTGCAGATTCGCTTTGCAGAAACAGTTTTAGCTTCAGTGATGAAAAGCTAAACTCCCCAACCTTGTCTTCTCCATCACTGTCTTCTCCAACTGAAACACCACGAAAAGGTACAGTATGTTCTAACTTGCCAACAATTGCATTAGACTTCATCCAAAGCCAAAACTGGGTAGAGTAGGGAAGGGTTGAAATCTATAAGGTTTCTATAACTGTCTATATAGGACATGTAGGGAAATCGCTCTTTATGATGGTACAAACCGACCTGACAAAGATCCAAACCTTTCTAAACCATGTCCAAAACTAAAATAAAAAAATTGGCCTGGTGTTTGTCTACAAATTATCATACCAATAAATTCACGCATGATTTAGTAGGGTGCATATGGACAGTAGAAAAGGGCATTATTTGGAGAAAGAAGGACCTTTTCCTTGCCATGAGTAAGAAGGGGGATGCTGTTTTGGATTGCCTAAAGCTACATGCTCTGACTACCAGGAGCGTTGTGAGGTTCAGGTCAATTAACATTCTAGAAAGCCTATAGTTGTCAACAGACCCTGTCTTTGTAGACTTCCACTGAGCTTAGTGGATCAGGAGGGAACAGCCACTAATCAGTACTACTACAGTAGCACTACTAATTGGCAAGCAGAACTTGAATATGTAATAAGCAGATATGGTTGTGCCCATTCACACAAAGCAAATAAAAAAAAATGATAGACTGTAGTTCCACTTTAGGAGAAACGTACACAAAATATGTAGTCTACCATAGATCTCCTTCTAAAATGCTAGATGTCTTTTCTCTAGAACAAGAATGTAGCCAGTAAAGTAATGATTCCCGATCTACATACTTGTTCCAGGTCAGTGACTTAAACTGTTGATGCCTTTGGATCAGTATTACTGCCAGGTAACTATCATTTTAGAAAGAGAAATCGACAATAGCGACCTACACTCAGGTTTTTATGCAGCATAGTTCTAAACTGGTGAATTTAAAATTATGAAAATATTCACCCTATAATGTAAATCTGTTGGGCAACGGCTTGATTAAAACTAAAATGATGTTAGGTAGAGTGATGCTATCTGAAATAAACAGATCCTGAGATGTATCTGTTTTTAGGCAGTGATGCTGGGAAGTAAATGGGAGTGCTGGGAAACTGAGATGAACAGAGAATCTAATGAGCATTGAGCCTGTCTGATCCTTAGGGATACTGGTTGCTTACACTGATAAGACCTTTTAAAGTGATGCTGGAGCAATACTTGTCTTTTTTTTAATTCTACAGCTAAACTTGGAGATACAAAAGAGTTGGAAGATTTTATTGCTGATCTTGACAGGACACTAGCAAGTGAGTAGATTTGTACATGACTGTTCCCTATCGCTTTCTTAGCTCCTTGCTAAGCTTTATGCAATTTCCTTGTTTAGATAATATAATATCCAATATTTTATATTGTCACAAAGCCAACTGTTTTTTGAATTTCTTTAAGTCTGCTCAGGGGTCAGTAACTAGTAAGTGATCCACTATTTGTATAACGGATAGGCTCAGCTAAGCCTAATGTAGTTAGTCTGTATTAAATAATCAATTAAAGGTACATGTCATGAAAGAAACCACATGTGAAAGAAGGATCTAATGGAAATGGCCATTCCGAGACTTGTGCTGCCGAAATCAGGGACTTTCCTTTTGTACTGAACCATTGGACCTCATGAACCTGACTTGAGGTGATCCATATTTCAAATGCCCCATCATATCCAGTATGAGGTCCTGTCTATTTAAATTCTGCTTCTAATGATTGGATCTAAGTGGTCACAGGTTCAGTTCACTTATTCCACTCTAGCTGAATAACTAGGGTGCAGGTGAGTTGTAAAATGGCTGCTTCCTCATGCAGGGGTTTTATTCTGTGACAGGGTCCCTTTATGTTGCCTTTTTGTTTATTGCAGCGTAGCTGTCTACATCAGGTTAAATGTAGTCCTTTAAGTTATATTTGGGTGCATTTCCTGGGTTCTGAGCAGTTTGAATGAGGGCTGCATGATTCATATGAATTTGTCTGAAATACGGACTGTACAATGAACACAATGAAGAGTTGTCAGATGGGAATTTAGGGAACCATACCCAGTGGAGTGGTGGGCAGTCATAACAGGAGTTCTTACCCTTCCCAACTCTATTAAAAACTAAAAAAAAGGTTTGGCTGAACTTGAGCTTTAAAGGAGAACTATGAGGTGAGTGCTTTTCACTCACCTCATAGTTCTAGCCGACCTGTGACAATGAGACTGTCACAAGTCGGCTCAGTAGATCAGGAGGTGAGCGAACACATACCAGCGTTCGCTCGCTTCTCAATCCTGTCAAGCCTCTGCCGTGACAGGGGAGGAGCTGGATTCCAGCAATGATCCTCCAGCGCTGACTGGCGGAACGGACGGGGTGGGGGGCGGTAGAGTGATTCCTCTAGATAGGCAGAGCCAGCTGTCACTCACGCAGCTGGGCGGATCCAGACATAATTGTCGGGATCCGTTTCAGGGGCGTCGTCTCAGTATACCGCGAGCTGCAGCTCGAGGTATACTGAGCTTTGGGTAACGGGAGGATGCTAGTTTGTGTCCTCCCGTTACTCTTCAGAGAACTATGGGGAAAAGCCCTAACCCCATAGTTCTCCAAGCGATTATCGCTGCACTGGATTCCCTAAAGACCCGAAAATATATATATATATATATTACTGTATGGAGTGCACACGCATGCAGCAATTACAAGCAAGAAAAGAACAGCCAGCTTGTTAGTGCCATTAACGCCACATCATAATCTATCATTTTGGACTTGGCGAGGACCCATACACTTTAGCGCATAATTGTAATTTTTGTTGTCCAGACCTCCTTGGATTACATTATGATGAGGTTTGGCAGAACTGAATTGTGTGCCTCACATCATTTGCATCATTTACTTCCTGGGCTCTCTAATGATAGACTATCCCAAACATTCATGTAATGTGCACAGTACACAGGCTTCCCGAGCAGAGAACATGCAGGATTTAGAAGCCGTGTATCTATAACCAACTGACTAAAAGGGAACCTGTAAGCTGCTTTGCTGACTTTTTGAAGGCGCATGCTCTCTGTGAATGACGTCCTGAATTTATTATATAGTAAGTCAATGAACTAGCGAGTGAAATGCTGGAGCATCTTGTTCTAGGCTGTGAAGTCAGAATGAGGATGACAGCCCCTGCCTTACTTGTCATAACAACATAGTTAGGTCCATTATAAAACACAAATTACTTACTTGTTTTTTTATACCTTTTCTTAATGTGTTTAACATAAGGCTGGACAAATCCCAGGAGCCAGGTAGCCAATGTTCCTTAAAACTTACAGTTGGCGCCTAACTTTGGATGTATTCTCTAGTTGTCAATGGAACTGGCTGCTAAGAAAATCCTACTGGCTCCTGAATTCTATATGGATTCCTCCATCCCAGCCACTGAGTATTGATCTCTGCAGAAGTTCTTTTGCACTGCACCTGTTTATTTATCAAATGCTACATATCTAGACAAACTTTAGCGTTGGCCATACATTTCTATTGTTTTTAGGATATTGGGCTATACTTGGTTGACATCTGTATCTCTTGTCTCTTGCAGGTATGTAAAGAACTGTATAGCTGGTCAGTGTGATCAGTCTAAGAACACGGAAGGCTGTAAATCGTCATGAAGCAGGGTTACATAATGCAGGCGTTCCCGCAAGATATGGATACAGTTGACTATTTTTTACATAATGTTGCCTAATTGTAATTTAAAATGCTTTTATGGAAATAATTTGTAATGTTATAGTTGAAACAAATGTAATTAAGTTTTTTTTCCAATATAATATATTTTTGTATACAAACAAAAGGTTTTGATTTTTATTGCTTCTCATTCATGCAAATCGGTTCTAGAAAACAGTAACAGACTAGAACGCTGATCTTATCTGGCACAGGCTGTAATGAGATCAGTAAAGATATGGCTTCCTCCCTATAAATGAAATGGAGACATAAGAAAAGGTTTCTCAAGCTCCTTCAGTGCTCAGATCAACCCCTGACATGCTGATATCAAAATCTAACACGTGATGTACTTTAAAATAACCTGGATGGTGAATCCATGCATTGAAAATCGTGTACCACCCTCACAGTTCAGAGGTAAATCTGGAGATGCAAAGGACAAGAAATAAAATGGAGTTTGGGGCTGTGCACTTGCCATAGCAAAGAGTTGTCTTACTATACAGTCTGGGCACTATTTACAAAGACCAAGTCCTCATTTCTCTGTAGTTAACTACATCTCACCTAGTTTTGACATGGAGAGGTGTTTGTGGGTATGTACCTGTATGTATGAGTTCTATAAATGAGCACGACTGTCGCAATTGATATTTTAATAATGACTAAAACAGCAATTTGAATTTTTTAGATATATAACTCTTTTCTTTACAGCAAGATATTAATCACCTTAAAGTAATGGATGCAGATCAGTCCTCAATAAATAACATAAACTGTCATATGTAAGTGTATCTTGAGCTTCAGAGTATAGTGTTGTCACTACTTTTGAAGTTCCTGGATGGAATGAGTAACGCTTAGTGAAGGATTTATATAAAGTGAAGAGTCACAGGGAATCTGTGTTTGGGCTTCTGTACACACCAGGAACAGCAATGCAGTTTGTGTAGATTGCACAGTAATGACAACTGCTTCCTGCTTGCTCTGGGATGCTGTGGTAATAGCATTCAATATAGGAATTATTTTTCTTGTTGTAGCTGTGCAACAAAGATGGAGGTGGTTGGGATAACCTACTACACTACCCGGGGAAGCTGCTTACAACAGTCACTTTTTAGAAGATAAAAACTAATTCTATGCTCTAACAATGCCTGAGGTTATAGTGCAGTTGCAAGTTGTTGTTTTTATTTGTGAATAAAAGGTAACGGGTGTGACTGTGTGCCCAAAAAAATATTTTACATTAATGTCAGTAAATCATTTGTGCCAAATCCCCAAATCTTAGACAACCAAACCCAAAGAAGTATTTGACTTTTAAGGCACATACAATTATTGTCATCAAATCCCCTAACATACATTTTATTCATATTTTAAAACAATCGCGCATATTAAATTTCTGGTCCGCCTCTGGCCCAAGAATTACTTATTCAATAACAAAGCATCATTTATTATAATGGACGACAACAATGTTCAACATATTTTGGTGTAAATTGAAAAAGCGATGGAAAAATCTTGACGCATTTCATTTGCAGGGCTCACTTCCTCAGGAGAAAGGTGACTATGTGAATGTTACCCAGATCCAAGACATGATAAAATCATTACCCACATGTGTGCAACCATCAAATTTCTCTAGATCAGGGGTGGGCAAATTAAGCCCTCCAGCTGTTGTGAAACTACAAGTCCCATTAGGCAGCCACAGGCATGGCTCCCAGAGGCATGTTGGGATTTGTAGTTTAAGCACAGCTGTAGGGCCGCAGTTGCCCAGCCCTGCTCTAGACCATGGGGGTACCGCAGGAGATTCTCCTGAGAAAGAATGCCCATCCAAGTTAGACCCCCAAATCATTTTTTTTTTTTTGCTAGTCATTTACTCAAGAAGGGAGAATTATGTAGACAACAAAGAACAAGAGAGACTGCGCCTTCTCCTCGTGTGTTATCGTTTATTAGACCAATAATTATAGGTGTAATCTACTCACATACATAAGATATATACATGCAGTGTACAAATCAAGCCAAGAACCTCCTAGGCAAAGTAGCTAATGCGTTTCGGGGGCAATCCCCCTTCCTCAGAGCTCTGAGGAAAGGGGGGATTGCCCCTGAAACGCATCAGCTACTTTGCCTAGGAGGTTCTTGGCTTAAGATGTACACATGCAGTGTATAAATTATGTATGTGATTTAGATTTTATTACACCTATATTAGTCTAATAAACGATAACACACGAGGAGAAGGCGCAGTCTCTCTTGTTCTTTGTCTTCTGCATGTTTTCCGAGGATATTTCCCAATAGCCTTTTGGATGGCTGCCTCTCAAAGTGTGGAAAGATTTGAAGATATCTGATGGGAAAGGGAAGAGTTGCCAGGCGCTGGTTGTGCGTTTTTTTGATAAGGAAGAATTATGTTATTTAATCATCTGGGTGTCTTTGAAACATCCAGATTAAGGGGGAAATTTGATCTGTCATTTCAGTATGTCAGATCCGTGTCAATAACTGTCATCTCAGACACATCCAATGATCTTAGATAATGCTTTGTAACTTCCTCTTAAATGAATTCATGTCATGCAGCTATATTACCCCAGCCACAGTTTACACCTATACAAGTGGTCCCATATACAGGAGTATAAGTGCCTCTATGGGTCCTTCCCTTTAAAGACCATCACAAGATGTGTAGCCACCCCTGCTTACTGATGCTTGAAAAATATAAATGAAGTCATGTGGAATAAAACATGGGATTACTATACTACATTTTGTATATTAATAATATATACAACACAGTATAAGCTACTAATAGGAGTATAAATATTTTGGATCCTTTAAAGGGCCTATACCCAAAGGAAAGATATAATATGTGAAATTCCACCAAGCTGTACGTAAATTGAGATTTCTGACACTGTTGCTGTACAACTGAATTCTCTTTGTTAGGTGCCAAGTGTTAAAATGTTCTTCGGTAGTTTTCTTTTGTGGGTTTACTGGGCAGGAAGTTATCTGTGAATTGAAAAGTATCACCTTCTACTTTTATTACATTCAGGTTAAACATCTTGTGAAACAGCCTGAAATACTGACATATCCATCTATGAATGTTATTAATATCTCTTTTACTTGTAGAAACTTTCCTATAAAATTGAAGTAACCCTTTAAATACATCACAAATGCAGATTTTCTCACATTCATCTCTTGCTCCTTCTCTGCTGTTTTCTCATAAAGGAACAAATAACATGAGCAGTAATCCTGGTAACAAATCTCATAGGTGAAATCATTCACTATTCATTCTCTCCCTCCGCATGGAATAGTGTTCAGATGGATACATATCTGTTTACAACTTGTCGTACAGGGTTGTAATCTTGCAAAATTTGCAAACCTAAGTGAACATTTTTATTAGTAAATCATCTAAGAAGATTAACTGATCTCTGTTTTGTGTGAGACAGATGCTTAAAGTAGAACTGAAGCCACATTTTTTTTTGTTTTGGGTAGAGTAAAGGAGGTTATAACCCCTGTCAGCATTTTTTCCCCATCTGTGTCTGTGCCCAATGGGGATACCTCCCTTCACTTCCTGTACAATAGCCATAACAGGAAGTGAGAGGAAATACCTTTAAAAATGAGGGAAATCTCAGGCAGGGTTGCCAGTTCCCATCTCTCCTTGTTCTGGTCACAACCCAAAATTTGGGATTTTCTTTCACATTCAGTGATAAGTCACCAGGGAAAATAAAAAGGGTAAATCCCCCTAATGGCGTAAAAACAGCAATAAAACCTGACAGGTGTTCTAATCCTTCCCCACTCTATCCAAAACTGGAAAAAAAAAAGCGCATTTATTTATAACATATAGCGCCGACAATTTACGTGCGCATTCACAGCAGTCCCTGCTCTCAAGGAGTTTACACTCTAAGGCATAAACTCTAATCTCTACTTGAAGAGAAGTCAAGCTCCGGGCCTAGCATGCTTGGGCTTGCCATCAGTTACAACTTGGCAGTAGATGTACATGAATAATTATATTTCTGCCATGTCCTAGCATATAGCAACAGTTTTTTTTAGAATTTTTTTTTTTTTTTAAGTAGCCCTTGAGCTCTGGTCAATTGACTTTGTCCAAGCTAAGTAATACAATCTGAAATGAAGTCTCCTGCAGACAGAAGGAAACATTTTCTCAGTCTCAGACTATAAACTGTAACTTTCTGGCGAGTCACAAGGTGAGAGGCAGATGGGTGTTGAGTTGTGTGAGACAACCGGACCTTGATGATGACTCTAGAGAACATCTGAGTAATAAGGTTGATGAAGGCATTGTCTTAGGGAGTACTGTGATACATTTGCACATTAATGACCTTGCATACAGTTAACATGAAGAAATATTTGTATCTCTTGGTCCGCTATAGAGCGCCATTCAAGTTCCTCCTAAAATATTTATTTGGGCTATTATGAGACTGCCATGCCTGATGGGATATATATTTCCACATAGTTTGCTACCATTTTCCCAGGCTGATAGAACAATTCCGATATTTGTGCCATGGTCTTCTTTCACAGAGAAGTAGGTCTTTGTTCAGCTATGACATGTGGCTCCATATGCCCTAACACTGTGACCCTTTTTACAAATTCATTAAGAATGGCAAATGGAATGTTTCCATTTAAAAGCTTATTTCTTGAATGAAATATGATAAAGTATAAAATTACAGTTTTGTCCTAGAATCCTGTAAAAGGAAGGCCATAGAGTTTAAAAATAAATCATATTCACTATATAATCATAGGAAAGTATTCTGCATGATGAAGCTAAGCCATTAAAAAGAGCAGAGACCATGCAGCCAAGCACACAGCGCTGCATAGAAAAGCATGCCTGCAATGCTTGCCGAGCTAATGTGACAAATGTGCCATGTGCTGATCATTTGTACACATCTCCCTGATTATGTCCTTTATATTTAAATGAAAAGTTTTCCAAATGCAAGTTCCAAACTCTGTATGAATTTGGCAGTGAAAGTAAAGCGACATTCTGGAATTCATTTACACTGAACACTATTTCCAGACATTGAA